ATTTCATAAGCTTTCCAAAATGTCTTCTTGCAAGTCATTTGGATTTGTGTAACTACAGTTATGCTTCTCTGAAGTTGCAATCAGTTTTATGTCCATGTCTGGACAGGTCTGAAACATCTACATGTTTGACCTGTTTAACTTTGTAATTAGCTTTTTATGTAAACATCAATCTTGTATACAATTTCTATGGATTTTCATAAAGTCTTAGATCATCCTTGTGGGATGTTTGTAGCTTAAGTTATGTTTGAAACAAGTGACTGTTTGCTGCTGTCCAAATCTGCTTGTATCTAGAATTGTTTGCTTCTACTTGCTCTTGTTTGTATGATTGCAAATGGTTATCTTGGACACCTAGAGTTAAGGTAGCATGCCTAAAATGTTTTGCTAAATTGTGAAGTACTTGATCATGTATAGCTAGCTGGTTGTATGACATGCTTATGTGTGTATAGTGTAACATATGCTTGTTTAGTATGCTTGTTGCATTCCTTCATGTGTATTCTTTATGTTCATGCATCTGCATCTATGCATCTCATCCTAGGTATGCGCTAGGTACAACAGCACGTGGACGTGGGCGCATGATGTGGAGACAGGGCGATGGTGTATGGTGGACCTATCCCGAAGGTGGAAGGATCTGGACAAGTGCTAGGACGGGAGATGCTCACTTAGCGAGTGTCGTCTACCTAACAACGACTTGTGTCGGATCCCGAGCAAGCCCCGAGCATATTAAGCCTCCTAATTTCCAAAATGCAGTTACATTATTATTATTATATATCTATATATATATATTGTTGCATTAAGTTTAGGTGTTGGATGCAAACCATTGCTGCATTGGTTACCCAATCCTTGTCCGGATATTGTTACCACAGAATCCTATGTAGCTCGAGGCTCGAGTAGTGCTTAGTCCCGCTTAAACGCGGTAGAAGTCGGGTGATGATTTCATCACCTGCGAGATATAGGAAGATACATGTGGCACGGTTGGCTATATTTGCTATCGTGGAAAAAGAACCAGTCTTAATTTGAAATGAAGACCGGACGGAGGCTTGCTTGTTTGCGGTGACTCCGTCAGTGTCGATTAAGGACCCTAATCTTGGAGCCTTTCCTGTTCATGTTGAATGCATGCCTCTCTCTTAGTTGGCGGCCTGATGACCGACCCATGGCCGAGAGTAGCTCACCTCGGGCCGGGAGTCGATAAAGTATAAAGTGCGCCTCGGAAGGGAGCCGTGGGCGTGATTCAAGGGCAGGTGATTTAAAAGTCCCGATCGTCTGGCGGAAGGGTAATCCCGAGAGTCTTGGCGCTTGATCGAACCCGCAATTTGGTTCTGAGATGTTCCAAAGGTGACCCGGCTACCCTTGCAAAGTATGCCGGGTGAGAGTTAGGAATACCCCCTCGGTGAGTTGTAATTGATTCGAGTCGCCGTCTCTCCCAAGTTAGTGAGAACTTGACGGGCTTATCTTCAATGTAGATACACTTAATATCTTAATGGTTCGGAAATGGTGATATGATGATGACAGCCTTATTATACCTGCTATGGTTAATATTGTTTGCTCCTAATAAGTGAGTGCTCTAGTACAGGTGCTAATTTAGTGGACGGGTAAATAATGATAAGCTTGATAATAAGTTTAAATTGGTTACTATAATCATAAGCTCTTTTATGCAAGCTGTGTCAAGCTAGCCCACCGAAAAGCCTTGCATGATCCTCGGTGTCTTTTATTTCGATTTTTGTCGGGTAAGTCTAGGCTGAGTACCTTCTCGTTACTCGGGGTTTATTTCCACACATTGCGGATGACCGGTTCTTCTTTGGTTGCTGCAGCAAGTCGCCTTCTCCTACTTTGGGGATGAAGACTAGACCGTTAGGCGCGGTCTCTACTAGTTCTCGTGCACGATAATGCTTTTGTGGGACATGACTCTGATCTGGCAATGTATTTAAAACTATGAAGTTATGTACTAAACTATGTTGCTTCCGCACATTCAAACTTGGTTTGTAATATTTTATTTGAACTCTGATGGATGTAATCCGAATGCTACTTGTGAAATGTTGTAACGAATGATGTGTTGTGTTGAATCATTACGATCTTGGTTTGTATGTCGAGAGTTGGTTGAAATCCTTTCGTGATTTCCGGACTACCGGGATTATGGGAGCTTAAGTACAGGAATTTGATCGCTTCGGTGATTATTTTTGTACTTACGTTCTTATGATTTGGTCGGTTCTGTTACAACTGTGAACATCGTCCTGCATCGACTGTGGTCCACGACTTCGAGCAACGCACTATGTCGACTAGTGCGAATGGAGCCTCCGATGCCCTCAGCATGGGACCCTTCGCTGGATACAATCTAATATCTGTGATTACTGTACTTTGCGTTTTTACTGTATCTATCTGTATGTCATGTCTGCATGCTGTAGCGTTCATTATAGATATACACATACACATTTATGCCGTCACGAACCTGCTGATGTTATATTTCTGGATTAAATTGACCATAAAAATACCTAAAATTCTAAAAAAAACTTCTACCGGTACTATGTGCTTTATTTATCATATTATGAAAAATCAATATAAAAGCCACATCACATCATGTTCGCCTAAAGGTTCTAAAAACTGTAGAGCGATCCCTGGTCGTCACCCCCGCTTCGACTACGCCATCCCCATTGACATGGCTGGCAGGTACTATGACCTGCGATGAACACCCCATGGAAGGACAGCAGGCTGCACGTTCGATGGCTGTTGGCTTTGTACCTACGAGTTCACCGAGTTTGTAGCTATGAGTTCGCCGAGCTGCTTGGCTCACGGCCATAAGGAGTAGATTGTTTGCAATCTGCAAACCAACGCACAACTCATCCTACTAGCATGCAGTTGGATATGATGAAGCCTGAAGGAAGTTTCCATAAGGTTATTTGCATGGTTCGGAGCCACCTACCAGACCCGCGAGCGGAATTTTCTAGAGGTTTTGCGGTCCTGAGCCACCTAAGTGCGAGAAGTTTGATAGAGTAATAAAAGAAGACGGCCCGTCGCGAAAGGGCTCGTGGTCAATGGGACGCTGCCTACTAAGGTTTGCATCTTTTTTCTTAATTTTTTTAAGGATAGACTAAATACACACATGCACGTTTGGTGATCCCACGCATTTCGTGTAGTGTGAGCATGAGTTGTGTGCGTCGAGTACCCTCCCTCCTAAAAAAAGAGATGGCCCGTCGCCAACGAAATCTTAGAGGCCCTGTGGTAGGGATTCTCAACCAGCTCCTAGAGCTGTTTTTCAGCCCCCAGTGCCAAACGGTAGAAATCGAGCAGCTCCCACGAAGGATCCCCGCATTCTTCGCTCTCACATGCCAGTGCCGTCCGTCGGAGCAAAAAAAAAAACAAGCTCGCGCGCGGGCCCACGGTGTATTTGGCCATGGATGCCCCTGCCTTTCTTCCTTGTCGTGGCTTCTTTTTCCTCGCCTCTGCTTCTTCCACGACGCTGGCGTTGGGCATGGCCGCACGGATTGGCCGGAGCCGGGGGGGCCAGAGTAGGCGGCGCGCGGCGTAGGTCCAGGTGCTCGAGCGGGTAGCACGGGGGCACGTGCTGGAGCGGGCGGCGGCGGTGCGCGGGGTCGCATGCGGACATGAGGGCCCGCGGCTGGTTGTTCGGGTCGAGAGAGCAAGAAGATAGGGGGAATTTCCTGTGTGCCATTATAAAAGATCGTAATGCCCTGTGTGCCTATGAAAACGTTCAACGGTCTTCAGCGCCACAACTCTAACTTTTTCGTGTCCTCCATGCCACTTCCGTCAGTTTGGGCTCTAACGCCGTCAAACTGCAGGTGTGAAAAGACGAAAATACCCTTAAGTCTAAATATATTATTAATTTTTTTGAGCATCTTAATGACTTCAAATGAAAAAACTCAAAACTAGAAAGTTGTAGATCTCGTCGAGATCTATAATTTTTATATAAAAATTATTTTCATTTAATTCCGTAAAAAAAAATGATTTGATATGATTAATATATCTTAGAAAAATCATATTATTTTTTTGCGGAATTAAATAAAAATAATTTTTATATGAAAATTATAGATCTCGACGAGATCTACAACTTTCTAGTTTTGGGTTTTTTTCATTTGAAGTCGTTAAGATGCTAAAAAAAATTAATAATATATTTATACTTAAGGGTATCTTCGTCTTTTCACACCTACAGTTTGACGACGTTAGAGCCTAAACTGACGGAAGTGGCATGGAGGACACGAAAAAGTTAGAGTAGTGACGCTGAAGACCGCTGAACTTTTCCAGAGGCACACATGGCATTGTGATCTTTTATAATGGCAGAGAATTCTATCCAGAAGATAAGGATGCTTGTTCTGTTGTTGAGGAGAGCGAGCGGAGAAGGATTGAAAAAAGAAAGAATAAAGAAAGAAATAGAGGTTGAGAAAAAAACAGCAAATAATATATCTAGAGGCATTTTAGACATTTCTCCCCTCTTCGTCATACATCTCGTGACAGGAGAGACTGTTCAGCCAAATGGTTTTCTAAAACGGCTTCGTTTCACCGGAGAATCTGTTTCAATATCTGAAACTATTTTACCTGGAGCCGGAACTCTGCTGAGTGTCGTCTTCACAGTTCCCGTGTTCGATGATTAACAAAAAAAAAAAAGTTCACTTGCTCGCTCGGACACCAGTCGAGTCGAAGTCGAGCGACGTCCGAGTCCGGAGTATCAATTGGGCCTGCACGCCGCGTTTGTGTGACTTTGAACATGTCAACTGGCCCTGCCGTGCTTGCGTGCGAAACGGCAAAAGGGAAGTCGACCTTGCGGTCCTGTACTCACCTTGCGGTCCTGCTAGCCGTCTGAACGTATATCACGGGTGAGTCCATAGACACGAACCGCACGGGCACGGCGGGGAAACCCAAAACCCCGGACCGAACAAACCAGGCCCAGCCCAGAGAATCAGAATCAGAATCAGGGGCAACAAGTTACAAAAACTGTCTCCTCTCTGCGCGAACCCGGCCGTGGCCGCACGCCTTTCACACTTGACGACTTGATGGGTTGCTGCCGCTCCTCGCTGCGGGCGGGGCCGGGGCCGGGGCCCCACGCGGCGGAGAAGCCGCCCCGCCACCGCCACGGCCACCGCCACCGCCACCGCCACCGCCCGCCGCCGCCACCGACGAACAACGGCCCGTCCTTCTCCCTGAACGCTCACCAGGCGGCCGCGCCGCCCCCGGCCCGGGCCGCCGGGGGGGACGTCCCGGTGTTCGCCGAGTTCTCGCTGGCGGAGCTCCACGCGGCCACGGCCGGGTTCGCGTCGGAGAACATCGTCTCCGAGAGCGGAGAGAAGGCGCCCAACCTCGTCTACAGGGGCCAGCTCAAGGCACCCCGCGGCGCCGGCGCCCCGCCGCGCGCAATTGCCGTGAAGAAGTTCGCCAAGCTCGCGTGGCCCGACCCCAAGCAGTTCGCGGTAGGCAAGCAAGCAAAAGTTCGATTGCTTACTTTTGAACCTCGTTCGCGTGGCCTTGGTGTGCCTGGGTTTTCAGTTTTCACAGGTACTAGTTGATTTGGCTGCAGGAGGAGGCGAAGGGGGTCGGAGGCCTCCGGCACCGGAGGATGGCCAGCCTGATCGGCTACTGCTGCGACGGCGACGAACGCCTGCTCGTCGCCGAGTTCATGCCCAACGATACCCTCGCCAAGCACCTTTTTCACTGTGAGCCCCGCTCGTGCTCTGCAATTCGTGTTACCAGTGTATGCACCATTTGATCATGTTCCAAAGACCGGGACTCACTACTATAGTACTATGCTAATGACTTCTTTTTTTGCGACTTAGTACTATGCTAATGTAGTGCAATTTTGGTAATGGTGAATAAGTTATATATTTGGCAGAAAACAGGTGAAATGTTCTGTTTGATTCTGATTATTACATCTGTTTTCTGTGCGAGCTGTTCTGATTCTGATCATTACATCAGTTCAAAGGGAAACTAAATTGAAATTCGTGAGTTTAGGAGTTGATTTGGAGTTTGATCGCTTGTTTTATATTTATTTAGTAACATGAAGAATACTGATTGCATTTACCAGATGGTTTTACTTAATATACATGAAGAAGCAAATAATTGGAAACAACAATTGACTTCTTCTGATCTATTGGTCACTGTGGTTTTGCTCATGTGCAGGGGAAAATCAGACTATTGAATGGGCTATGCGTCTGAGGGTTGCATACTACATTTCGCAAGCATTGGAATACTGTAGTATCAAGGGGCGGCCTTTATATCATGACCTAAATGCATACAGGGTCCTCTTTGATGAGGTAAATGGGCAACCTGTGCACCTTGTTTGAATATAGGGTACTGCAAGTGGTGCATAAAGCCTGATTAATGCGCTGGGTTGATGACCATGTGGCACATGTCCTTGATAATTATATCCACGACATTTTTACTAGTTATATTTATTGTGTCTGGCAATACCATTAGTATTAAACTGGGATTGGCAGAACTTATATTGGACTCATATCATGGCATATTGGCATGTATTGTGTTATTTTGTAAACAGTTTTGAAAATTATGTTTTATAAATTGATACTCCTAATTGCATCCAGCAGTTGAATATGTCATTTTGTACTAATTGTCTTATTTTCAAACGAAATTTTGTAGTTATAATGAACTTTCTGATTGCAGAATGGTGACCCTCGTCTGTCATGCTTTGGTCTGATGAAAAACAGCAGGGATGGAAAAAGCTATAGCACAAACCTAGCATATACACCTCCAGAATATCTGAGAAATGGTGCCTATCTCTTCACTTTCATCCTTTTTTTTTTCTGCAAGCAGTTTTTAGTTTCATCTTAAGTAACGAAATATTTCACCTTTTTAAGTATCTCAGTGGTTTCTCTTATTAAACTTAGTTATGTTTATAACACTGTCTTTCTGATTGCCATTATTCTACTGCACTTACCAGTGGAAAATATCTTTTTCAACACTTGCTCAATGCTCAGTATAACTGATAGATTCCGCAAACAAACATTTTTTGTTGTTACTATTATAGTGACATGATTTCTGAAAGTTGAGTTCCATAATTGTAGTGTTGATTTTTTTCTTTTAAAAGACAAAATAGCGTACATCTGGAATTTAGCTTTTGGTAGGACCAGTGACTCAGTTCATGGTTTTCTGATTCCCGTGTATGTGCTGTTTAAATTGAGCATATTAAGCCCTTGGTAAGGCAGTTACCAGGTGCTTTGAGATGGTCTGGTACTCTGGTTAGTGGGTCCTTGGTCTCTGTATGTTATTGAAATCAATAAGTAATGACCAAACAAAACAGCAAGAAACGCTTCAAGTGTATATTTTTCTGAGGAAAGTTTTGTTCTTGCAGGCAGGGTTACTCCAGAAAGTGTCATATTCAGTTTCGGCACTGTACTCCTTGACCTTCTCAGTGGGAAACGCATACCGCCTTCACATGTAAATTTCTTGCTAGAAATGTCTTATGCTTCGTTAGATATGAGGCCTGTTTCAAAAAATATAGAAATACACATGCCTGTTGGATACAGGCAGAACACCCATGCTTGCAGATTGCATTGATTTTTTTTCTCAAACTGAATCTCTGGCACATCTTTAGCTCATATAATTTGAGCACAATCTGCACTGTGGAAATGACACCCTGCACAATTTGTTATCCAAGCATAAAACTAAACACACATACATTACATGTATGCACGCTGTTTTTTTTTTCTCGATGTATGCACGCTGGTAATAATGCATGTATGCGTTTGTTGCACGCAGGCACTTGATATCATGAGAGGCAGAAACATCCAAGCAGTTATGGATTCACATTTGGAGGGGAACTACTCAACTGAGGTGGCTACTACATTGGTGAACCTTGTTTCTCAGTGTCTACAATATGAGCCAAGAGATCGGCCTGACATAAAAAAATTGGTTTCCATTCTGGAGCCTTTGCAGACAAAATTAGAGGTAACTCAGTCTTTGTGAAAGGAGTATATTTAATGTCCTAGCATCACACTGGTTCATGCATTCGGTCAAAAAAAAAAACACTGGTTCATGGTAATAACTGTAACTTCCACAGGTACTATGTGATATTGCTCCATTCCTTGCCTTGTATAGCAGTAACTTAATACTTGGCATGAGACAGTAAACGTTAAAACTGAACTGAAATCCTCACTACTGTGTGATATTGCTTCACTCCTTCCCCTGTGCTGCAGCAACCTAATACTTTGCATGGTATAATAGTAAAGGTTAAAACAGAACAGTGAAATCCTCATTGTGTTCACTTTGTTAGACTGTGTATAGTAGATGTTTTTCTGCATTACTGCACAGATAGATTATGTTACCATGTTGTCTTTGAATGCTATCTTTGCAAAATATTCAGATAAACATAAGCAAATACCTGTCTTACTAGTATTTTTGTTAGATATATTATATCTCTTACAAAAGCGTATGGTTTACCACAAAATTCTAAACACACTACATGGACACGGGTGCGGGTGTCTGTGTCCGGGTCGGGCTCGGGTGTCCAATTCGGCAGATCTTTTGGGGATACGCCATGACGCCAAATACCATTTGGAATCCAAAATGGGTGTGGGTGTTTAACATAGCTGAATAATTAGGACACGGGTGTCTGCATAACACCAAAACGACCCTGATGATTCCTGCTGTTTACCTTGAAAAATATGGAACAGGTACCGTCCTGTGTGATGCTTGGAATTCCAAAGCCAGTGGAAGAACCACAGGCACCTCCTACTCCACAGCACCCTCTTTCTCCCATGGGAGAAGCCTGTTCCAGAATGGACCTAACTGCCATCCATCAAATCCTATTTACAGCACATTACAGAGATGATGAAGGGAACAATGAGGTAAAATAAATGAGTGCATTCTGGTTCCAATCTTTCTGTTTTGTAGGATCTGTGAAACTGGCATCATTCTCCATTCTGCAGCTATCTTTTCAAGAATGGACACAGCAGATGAGGGATATGTTGGATGCAAGGAAACGTGGCGACTCTGCCTTCAAAGACAAAGATTTTAAGGCAGCAATCGATTGTTACAGCCAGGTGGGCATGCGTTTCTTGTTCATGAAAAGCCTTTAATAGCCCCTAGATAGAGACTGGGATAGTTTGGTTTATTCCATTTATCTAAAATAAAAAGAACACTCTAATGTAGCTGATTCTTCCTTCCCTGTGTCTGTTTCACAGTTTGTCGATGTGGGGACAATGGTGTCACCTACTGTATTCGCCAGACGAAGCTTGTGCTACCTTATGTGTGACCAACCTGATGCTGCCCTCCGTGATGCAATGCAAGCACAGATCGTCTACCCTGATTGGCCGACAGCATTCTACATGCAGGCAGTTGCACTATCCAAGCTAAACATGCAGAGTGACGCCGTGGACATGCTGAACGAGGCATCACAGCTAGAAGAGAAGAGGCAAAAGAGCACAAGAGTTCCTTGAATGACGCCGTTAGCTCAGTGAAGTGGCACCCCTTCTATATATATAACATAGATTTGCAGTTTGTAGTACAGTAGTATATTCACCGACCTTTCCCACCCTGTAGAAGTATACTGCATGTTTAGAATTAGAAGTTAGGAAAAGTGAAAACTGCAGAGGAGATGCTCTTTGCTCTCTGGACTCTGGAGCCATGTGTTGGAAACCCATTTGGTTTGGCACTTCTGTGAGAGGTTCTTCATTTTTTGGGCCCATGTATATAACATCCGTTGTATGGGAGTTCAGAACTTCATATAGGTTGCTGGTTGTGCAGGAGGGCCCCTGTCGCCGAAGTGTTAATAAACATGTCTTTGTTTGTAAAAAACTATTTCTCTGGGCATTGTTTCCATTAATCATATCATATCATATTTTCTTCATTGGAGCCATTTTTCTGACCTGTTGGATTGCAACTCCGGGTCTGATGTATTATTGTTCATTGTCGGCAACGAGTCATTCCCTGCTCACCGTGCTGTGCTCGCTGCCTGCTGACCAGTCTTCAGAGCAGACCTCTTCGGCTCAATGACAGAAGCCACGGTGCCATCCATCATGCTGCAGGACATCGACTTCGCCACTATTAAAATTATGGTACGGTTCATGTACACAGATGCCTTGCCTGCTGAATTCATAGCTAAGTTGTACAAATGCCACGGTACCACTCAACTGAATTAGTATGTGCCCTATGGTCTGTGCCATCCAATACCTATATTCATAGCTAAGTTGTCTGTCCTTTTTGAAAACTCAAAACTATGGTGTCCCCCCTGACTTCATCTGAAAACCTTTTTGTAGAGCACCCGCACCTACAAGGAATGTGCAACACCTTCTCCGCTCTGTATTATTCTTACAATTTGAAAGCAAACATGCCAACTTTCTTCTTTTGTATTAGAAATAGTTTGGATGGTTTTGATTGCGCAATTGTATTATCCATCCATTTTGGCTACGAATACCGAGAGCTCTTATCTCTGTCCATACATTGGTTACATGACATTAGCTAAAGCTGCCTTCATCCAAGCATTCCCATTACAGAAAAAAATCTCCTCAAATATCTATATAAAAAAAAGGGCCAAGTATACTTTGATTGCTCAAATCTCTTATTCTCATTGTTTCTCACTAAACAAAAATAATATATGTTCCTACATCCTTTTCCCTACAATAAAATAATGTGACAAAGAAAGGTTCCTCTTTGCTGAATTATGTGTTCCACATTTCCTATCCTACATGTGCCTGAAAGTGAAGACGATGGACTACTAGCAAGGGAAAAGGTGTACGGCCAGGGTTGAGAATGATTACTGATCGTTGGATTTAGACTAGATGGATGGTGTTTGTCGCCTGAAAAGAATGTAAAAATCAGGCGCCTGTTATTTAGCAACTCCCTGTTTGTTCTCTATTTTTTTTTCCTTATATAAAACCGTGTGATAGGTGTTTATAGCAGCCAAGAAAGCCATCGGCATGCGGCGAAGCGCGGGGCACCACCTAGTATATAGGAGACGTTTATTAGAATAAAACATGCACAGACAGAACAATGCCATCGAAATAGTAGCCATAATAACCCTTTATCGCACTTTCAGTGATACAAGAAAGCATAAGCATATAGAAATACTACAATGCAAATACCGTACAATCAAACCGAATACAGAGTTTTCAGCCGTGTAAATCACTTTTCAGCGCATCTGTGACTGACGTGTCAGGCCTGCTGCCTCATGAGCTCCATGGCGGAGTCGACGAGCGAGGCGACGCTGACGGCGCGGCGGCTGAGCCCGACGCTGCCGGAGAACACGTTGAAGCACTCGAGGCCGGAGGTGGTTTCCGCGACGCGCCTCTGCTCGGCCTCCATCCCGAGCTCCACGAAGAGCGTCACGAAGCGCGCGTCCGACCGCATCAGCGCGATGGCGAGCTCCAGCGTGTACAGCCGGATCCGCGGCACCAACAGGGACGGGCGGCTGTACTCCCGAAGGACCAGCACCAGCGTCCGCGCCAGCGCCGCGTCCGTGACGCCCGCCGTGGCGAGGCTCGCGCGGAGCTCCCCAGGCTGCATGAACCGGAGCATCTGCGCCGCGAGGCCGAGGGAGATGTTGAGGAGCTTCGTCTTCTCCACCATGATATTGCGCAGCACCTGTGCGTCAGCCGTCAGGAAGAAGAAGAAAAGATTAGGAAATGGTTGATGGCCAAATCAATGACACCATAGCCGATGCACATGCACAGAAACTACCTTGGTGGCGCCGGTGGTGACTCCTCTCAGTGTAAGCTGCCACTCGTCCCCAGCGTAGGTGCACAGGTTGCGCAGGATCCTTGCGGCGCTGATGACGACGATGGGATCACTCAGCGCCTCGACGAGCCGCTCCACACCTCTTCCGAACGCCATGATGATCGCGCCGCAGTTCCTGCGGCTGCCCAGCGCCAGCATTGCCAAAGCCTCGCCGGCCTCCACCCGAACCGCGTCCTTGTGCCGGTCGGGCGCTGCCTCCTGCTTTTCCGGCAAGAACATCGCCACCAGCGTGCTGACCACACCCCCTGTGGCGCCGATCATCTCCCTCGCCTCCTCGTCCATGGCGAGGTTCGTCAGTATCTCGATCGCCAGGCGGTGCAGCTCGGACACGCCCTTCTCGTCCTGCTGCTGCAGCACCTCCCTGACGTTGCTCACGGTGAACACAATGTCAGAGAGCTCCCTCCGAAGCAGCTTTCCGGTGGTCCCCGTCGTGCTCGCCAGCCTCTTCACAACGCGGAGCGACTGCTTCACCGCCTTGAGGCGCATGCCTGTCGGCGGCCCGTTTGCTACTATGCCCGAGTAGGAGATGATCCTGTCGAGAAGGCCCCTGGTCTTCCCGATCTTGTCGCAGTTGTCGTGGTCGCGCGCCAGGTTGTTGAGGATGGACAGCCCGAGGAGGTTGAGCTCGTCGAGGTCGGCGTAGAGCAAGGAAGCCACGGACTCCATAGCGCCTGGAATGCGGGTGACGCGGAGCGCGTCGAGCTTCCTTCCGGTGAGCATGAACACGACGACCGCCGCGGAGCGGCGCACGTTCTTCTCCGAGGCGTTCTTCCAGCTGAGCATCTCGATGAGGCGCTCGATGCTGGGCCCGGACGTGCCGATCTTGCGGAGCGTAGCGTCAGCGAAGCGGTCGGACTCGACGAGCGCCGCGAGGATGCTGGCGCCGAGGCGCTGCTCGTCGTGCGAGCCCGCCGTGAGGAGGTCGTCGGCGTAGAACACGAGGTCCATGTGCAGGCCGTCGAAGATGCTGCCGTTTAGGCACCGGGAGTAGGAGTCATAGAAGAAGCGGCGGACGGCGACGGCGCCGCAGTCGGTGGCGAGGTGGCAGTCGGTGGCGACGCGCTCCAACAGGCGGTGGTGGCCCACCGTCCACTGCCACAGCGCCTTCTCGACGAGGAACAGCAGCGCCTCGGCGAGCGCGAGGCCGTAGAATATGTCGAGCGCCGAGTGGCGGTTGACGCGGGCCAGCTCGCTGCCGTCGTAGCGCTGGTGGACGAGGCGGAGTAGCGAGAGCGCGGCGCAGGAGGACGCGGACAGCAGCTGCAGCCAGTGGAAAACGCGGCCGACGGCCCACGACACGGGCGCGCGGCCCGTGGTCTCGTGCTGCCACTCCAGCTCGTGGCTGCGGCCCAGGATCCGGACGCCCTCCACCAGCAGCAGGGTGGTGATGCACCAGAAGTCGGTCTGCCCCAGCGTGATGGCGAAGCCGGCGAGCAGCACGACCGTGGCCCAGATGAAGCCCAGCGTGCCGAGCCGGCTGGCCGCCTTCTCGAGCACCGCGAGCTGGAGCGCCAGCATGGTCAGCCGGCGCTCCGGCGGCGCCGGGTTGTCTTCGTCGTCGACGACGCTCGCGCGGACGCGCGGGGGCGGGGTTATCACCGCCTTCTGCGGCTCGAACAGCGTCGGCAGCTGGTCGTGGTCGGGGATCAGCACGTTCACGCTCCCGGTGGCAAGGCTCACGCGGCGATCCATTGCCGACTGCTTTGCTAGCTCTGGACACGAGCTAGCTAGGCGTAAGAGCAGTGTGACGCGCTGACACGAGTCCACTAAGCTTGGTTTTGCACACTGGCATGTGCCGACCTTTTATAGGCAAGTGCAGGTGCTGCGCAGCATGCATGGAGATATTTGGAAGCGGGATGCATGATATGTTCATGGCGTACTTGCATTCTTGGAGTTTAATTTGAAGGAGATTCATGGCAGGCAGGCATTGACGAATGTCTCACGTTGACACGTGGTCGATTTCTTGCGTGTTATTTCAGACCTTGAGGGGAAGGAGATGCTCTCTCCTTTCTTCTTGTTACAGAACTCGGTTGCCGACTGGGGCAACAGCGCGCCAGACGCATGCTCTGGGCGTTGGGGATGCCTGGTCGTTGCAATCTCTTACGTGTTCTCTCTCTATTATTCCCGTTCCAAAAAAAAAGATGCACTTAATAATCAAATTGATTTATGTTTAACCAAATTTATAGAAAAAAATATCACACTAGCTTGTGGCTCTAAATAGTTGTATCATTATAAAAAATATATTCCGCAATAAATCTACCGGTACTTATTCAGCATACTAAAAGATTTATAGTTGTTTATATAGATTTGGTCAAATATTTGGGAACGTTTAAAATTAGTATTATTCTGGGGTTGCATCTTTTTTGGGACGGATGTAGTATTTGTGTTGGTCCTTAGCTTGCTTGCGCAACCTGCTCTAGAAACAGCAGGATTTGTATTTTGGAACCGGCCAGAACATGTGAAGCTCGAGTAGGGGGGTGAGAACCAGGTGATATCATGCACTTGGATCGTCATTTCCAATGATCACCAGGCTGTACTCTGTAGCGGCCCAAGCAATGATGATCCAAAGGTTGGGTGAGAGGTTAGAGACCGTTGCACAGCCGCTGTAGATATTGCCTTCTTCTGCCCTTGCTTGCTGAGCTAGCCATCGCCTCTCCTTTCAGTCGTCCTTTCTGAGAACGGAAGTATGTTGAACCGAAACAGC